AACTTTATAATTTTATTAAGAAATAATTTTTATTTTTATATTAAAATAAAATTTATAAGTTATAGTTTAATATATATATTTTTCAGATTTTTTTAGATTTTTTCTGATAGAATTATTCTAATTACAAAGTTATCATAAAATTTTTACTAATTAAAAATAAAATTTAATTTGATTAAAAGTTTATATTAACTTTATAATTAAAATAATTCTTTCAGAAAAAATTTAAAAAATCTGAAAAAAATATATATTAAATTATAATCTACAAATTTTATTTTGATATAAAAATAAAAATTATTTCTTAATAAATTATAAATTTTAATATAGAGAGAAAATTTTAATTTTTACTATGTTTTATTAATAAAATTGATCTTTTGATTTCATAATTATAGAAGTCATTATATATTTAAGTTTATAAAAATTCTAAAATTCTAAAAATAAATAAATTTTTATATTATTAATTTAAATTAAATTCTATTTATTTTTGAATTCTTAATTCAAAGATTAAATTTTATTAATTATTAATATACTAATTAAATATTTATTATAAATATAATGAAAGAACTCATATTATAAATATAATATGAATATTAAATTCAAATCTTCATTGATATATAAAAAATTAATAATTAAAAAAGAAATGGCTTATTTATCTTTTTCAAGATTTTTGAATTTAAGAGAAAATTTTTTAAAAAATTAGAATTTTATAATAATTATTTTTAAATTCAATATAAAACTTATAAATTTGAATAGAAAAATAAAAGAATAATAATAAAAATATATTAATTTAGATAAAATATCCAGTGAAATTGTCAGTTTTGATAATAAATAATATTATAATTTTAAGAAAAGGTTTTTATAATTTTTAATAATAAAATTTGATTTTATTACTTATATTTTTCAATTAATTATTTTATTTTGATTAAATTTTCATATTAAATTTTATAAATTTTTATTAAATAAATTTATAATAATTTATTTGGCAGAACTTTTATTTAAAATTATCTATATATGATTTTTCATTTTGATAAATAATAAAATTTAATATTTTTATTTTTTAATAAATATTTTATTTAATTTTTAAATTTATAAATTCATTTAAAGAAGTAAATTTAGGATTTCTACCAAGATCTAGAGGTGAGGAATTGAGAATTACTCCACGAAAAACAAAGATCTCAATTCAAGTATAAAACTAAGGAAATTGGTCTTAAAAATGGACTAGGTGAATTTAACGACTTCAATACCAGAATAGGCTACGTCTTTAAAAAGAAAAACTACAACGATAAAATTGGACAAAAGTGGGATCCATGCAATTGCAAAACCATATAACAACGGCACCTGTATTATGACTAAAAAGAAGAGAATGTTGGGATCAAGAAATTTGATTGGTGTGAGTTCATCAATGTAAGGATAATAAAGGAGCTGTCAGATTCTTTGATATATTGTATCTATTAATTCACCCCTGTTATCACAAAGAATTCAATCTTTAGGCTTTGTGATAATGCTAGAAAAGATTATGTTTATTTGTCTTTATTTGCCTGCGAGTTCCTGATAAAACATGCGATCATGGGTGTTTCATTTACATGTGATAAAATGCTTGGATCAAGCCCAAATCCCGGCACTTCCAAATTCCCGACAATAAACTCAAAATTATGTAATAAAACATTGATGTTATTAAGAATGTCAGTAAATTCATTAAAGTAAAAACTATGAAAAGCATGCATTTAAAGAGGATATGCATTGATTACCATTATACGAAAAGAATATCTCACATAATTATGTTATCGCTATTTATCTTTAAATTTCAATTTTTATGTTTGTGGCTGTATTATACCAGATGATGATCGGGTGACAGTTCGGCATAATGTGACTTATTCGTTAAAATGGTCTTTTTTATTAATAGTTTGTGATGGTGTGGCTTTTTAAATCTGCATTATATAGAGAGAGATTCGTTTCAAGTGAACCTTCGTTAAAGTGAACTTCGCTGTGTATATTTAAATTTAATTACATGAATACAATACAGGAATAAAAAGCTGTTGCTATTTATTTTATATAAAAAAAACTATTATTTTAATTGTTGCATAGCACCGACATTTTTACGAGACCATGAGTTTGTATATTTTTACTCTTGAAAAATGATTATTTAGTGTATCAATTAATTGCATGTGTTTTGAGAATACAATAAAGTACAATGACGGATAAAAAATTTTTATGCACAATGGGAAAAATTATTGTAATTGTTGATATCAATAGCACCGACATCTTACAAGTCCATTTTTTATTCTTTGAAAAAACGATAATGTAATTACATGTATTTCCTAAATGCTCTTTCTCTAAATGCACAGTTACGACCTGCTCCCATGATGGAACTTCAAAGATAAGTGAACATTCTTTTCAGCTTGTCTATAAGGCCCGCTCATGTCAATATAATTAGCCATTATAAAATCATGTGCAATAATATTATTGACTATTTTCTAAGTTTTACACTTTCTCTAAATGTACACTATGAGATCGGTTCCATTTATGGATTTGGCTGAAAAATCAGTTGTATGGAAATTAATATCGATATCGATATCCTAATCAACAGTTTATATTTACTTAGTTTCCTAAAAGGAGAGGAGTTACATGTTTATTTAAAAAAAAATCGCAATTATAGCATATCCTAATTTATATGGATAAATTGCTGCTGATTATTACTATTATACATAGCGATATATACGTCATATACATAACATTTATTCACATCATGAGAATTATCGTTGTTACATTTCAATAACAGCGATAGGTTTTTTCCAAAACAATCTTTTGAAAGTATAATTCCAATATAAAAAAGAGATCCCACACACCTTCACAACCAATTCGCAAAGTTAAAGAATCCAAATATTAAAAGCTTAATTGCAAAGCAAAGATGAAGTTTCAATCAATTATCTTGTCTTTGACTATCAGCTTGGCTTCCGTAATTCATGCTCGAGTTTGCACAACTTGTAAGTTCCTTTACATTCGATTAAGTTGTTAATTTATGAACTCTTCAATACTAAATGTTATTTTCATTCTCTAGCTAGTGAAACTGGCAACATAGGAGGTGAATGTTATGATTTGGCCGACGGTACCAATTTAGCTGAAGTTATATCCATTATTGCTGGTATCCCATACAACTTTTTCTCTGAACCCAACTGCGAAGGAACACCACTTAATAGTGACACTGATACCATCATCTTCAATTCACCTTTTCCATCTTTACCCCGCTCAATCTTAATATGCTCATCAAGGACATAAAAAATTTAATGTAACAAACTACGACAACATTTTCTTAAATTTAATATTCAAACTTATACATGTATTAGTATTAATATTGTGAATGTGAATAACAATCAATGTGTCGCAAATTTATCAGAAAATTTCTCAAATAATAAATTTTCTATCATTATAAAGTTATATTCTTTTATGAACTTTTTTTAATTATAAGTATCTCTTAAAAGTTTATCTCTTTGTTTCAGCCTATTAAAATCTTCAACATAAATTTGCTAACTTTTAAAAAAAGAATCGACGCACGAAGCATAAGTACCGGTGACGTTCGATATTCCGACAATTCATTTCCGACAAACGAAATCTCGAAATCCCGAATTCTCGAAATCCCGAAAGAATAGCATCCCAAATTCATGGAATGCCAAACTTACGATATTGTGCGTTCGGGATGCCGTTCATTCTGGATTTGGGTAAATGAATTGTCGGGATGTCGTATCGAATCCGTGATTACGAAAATTCTGGAACGATGAGAAGACCTCTAATGTGTTACGAAAAACTTACATTTGTCTGTATCACCAGAATTCATCCAGTAATAAGAATTCCTTACAAAAATTCTTACTTTGCGTTTCCCAGAATGTGATCATTAGAAACCATGCAAACATTCGTATCGTACAGATGCTTACTTTATTTTACAATAATTTCCATACTAAGTTGCTGCTTATTCTTTGAGATTATTTTTGACTTTAATTCAATTATTTGACTTTATTATTTGAGTTTTTATTAGTTAATTTGTATAGTATTTTTGGTTATTTGAATTGAAGTTACATTTTGTCAATAATTAGCTATTACTTTTGTTATTTGAAATTAGTATTATATTTTATCTTTAACCCTTATCGTTATCTTTGATTGCAAAATATCCGTGTAGATCGGCATAGGAGACCTTTAGAACCCACACTTTGCGTAAATCATTCAGTCTAGCTCTCGCATCTACAATTCTTAGTCAATCATTTGGATTAATGAATTTTGACAACTTTGTGAAAAAATTCGTTTAGAAATTATTATTTACCAATAATAATCAGACAAAAGAAAAGTAAAAAAATGGCATGTAAACCTAAACGCGAACTTTTTATTTGTTGCCATCTCACTAATAAATAATAAGTGTAACAAAACTCATATATATCGATATAAATGCATTTTTATATATGAACTTAAAGATTGGATCGAATATTGTAGTGGATGCACTGATAGTCGAGTAAATGATTACTGAGTGCTTATTTCCCAACACAGACGACAACAAACTGAATATTTACATATTCGGTACTAATGATTCTTTATAAAAAATTATGGGTGTCCTTGCAGAGATTAAGAACTCAATGAGATGAAAACTTGTTCCTATAACATAAAAAAAACCAAAATTCATTCAAATACATAACACCAGTCGAAACACTCCACACACATGTAATTCAAATTATAAGGTATGGGTTACGTGCACACTACTAAACTAAGAAAAAGATCTATTTACAATGCAAATTCGGTGTAAAAATGGTGAAATACAATGTAAAAATGGAAAAATTCAGTAAAAATGTAACTAATGCTAAAAATAGATATCTAATGCTAAAAATATGATATATGAAATTTCAAAATATTAAATGACAAAATATGAAAATAAAAGAATAAAATATAGATAATGAAATAATAAAAATATGAAATAATAATATATTTTAATAAAAGCTATATTTATTTTTATTAAGCTTTAATTCAATTTTTTAATTTATTTATTTAGTTATAATTATTAAGTAATATATTTGTTGTTTTTTAAAATAATATTGAATTCAAGAAATAAAAATATTTTTAGCTTTGCTTTCTTTATTTATTATAATTTGTATATTTAAAGAAATATCTAAAATTCTTAATTGCAGATCTATAATTAAATAAATAATTTTACTTGCAAATTTTAAAATTAATTACACTTTTATATTTAATATATACACTTATCAGACAAAGTATTGAATTAGCTAATCCATTATACAAAAATTAATGACATAAATAAACTTTAAATAATAATTATGAGCTTAATACTTGTTTAAATATGTTAATTTTTTGTTCTATAATCTATTAATACTTTAGTAATTACTTATAATTTTCAAAAAATATAATCAAATCAAGAATTGACCAATTTTGAATAAGATAGAATTATCAATTACTGGAAATACAAGAAAATTACTCATGAAATTATAAAAGTTCTTGATCATATCTAAGCACAGATTTTTTAAGTTATTAATATATTTCAAAAAGAATAACAGATAATTATTAAATTTTAAAATGGTTGCCAAAAGTTTTGATAAAGTATAATCTTAGATAATTATCAAAAAAACTAGTAAAAAATAGGTAAATTATATTAGATAAGCTTATTTAATTAATAAAATGTTAGTTATACTAGTTAATTTCAAAATAATCAGTTATTATTTCTATAAATTAAATTTTCATAGCCTTATTAAAGTAAAAAAATCTTTATTTCTGAAGTAAATCAGAAAAAATACTTTAAATAATATAAAAAAAATAAAATTAGATTATTAAATTTAAAATAATTATTTAAAATAATAAATCTTATTTTTATCTATTTAAAATAATACTTATAAAATAATTTAACATTAATTAAAAGAAAAATATACTATTAACTATTTTATTTCAACTATTAAATATAGAAATAATATAAAGTTATTTTATTAATGGATCTTTAGTTATAATTAAAAAAAAATAAATAATACTAATTATATAAAACTATTTAGAAATAATCTTTTGTTATTCTTGAATGAATTGAAACTAAATTTATATTTTTTTCAGAATAATTATCTAATTTATCAATTAAAACTAATATATTAATAAAAAGAAAAAATTTAATTATTTTATTTTCATGATCTGTTCAAAATTCAGATTTTAATCTAATTAAGCATATTTAAAATTATTTAGAAAAAACAGTTTGCAAAGATAGTTTTATTTCAAAAATAAATAAGAATTATTTATAGCTTTAAAGAAAGAGTAAGTAAAAATAAATATGAGTTATTTAGAAAAATTAATAGAAAATATAGTATGAAAAATTCAGATTATAATTAAATATTAAGATAATATAATATAATATTAAAATTATTATAAAAAATTTTATAATTTTCAATTTAAATAATATAAAATTTATATAATATATATTAGTATATTCTTATATTATTATATAATAAAAATATTAATATCTTTACTATTTTATATAATATCAATATTTAATTTAATACTTTTATTTGATAAGTATAAGATTATTTTATTAAAGATTATAAATAAGATAAAATATAATATAAACAGTTTTAATTTTATTATTTTTATTATTTAAAAGTATTCAGATCTGAAAAATAATTTATAAAATAGATAGATTATATTTATAAGAAAAGAAATGAATATAAAATATAAATAAATTAATAATAATTTATAATTAAAATATATATAAATTAAATAGAATTAATTAATTTAATTTATATTTTTGAAGAACAATTAATTATAATTTAATAAATAATAATATGATAAATAATAATATAAATATAATTAAAAGAATAAGTAAAAATATAAAGAATTATTAAAAGAATTTTCTTATTAAAATATTATTAATCTAAATTAAAAATATATAATACATTACAAAAAAATTATAATTATTATTTTTACTTATATTTAATGAAAATTTATTTAATTTATATAAAATTTTAAATATATATATTTGATAATTTAGTAAAAAAGTTTATTTAAAAGTATTTAATAACTTATCTTAATAAATTTTTCATAATTAATATTTTTTTATTAAATTTTTTTTTAAAAAAATTGATTATAAAAAATTTAAAATGCTTTTT